CCTGGCCCTGGTCCTCCCTGGCCCCACTCTCCCCCAGCTGTGGCCTTTCCCTGTGGGACCCTGTTCACTTCTCCCCATCCCAGAGGACCTGCTCTGTCTCCCTTTCCTTCTACCTGGTGTCCTGTTTCTCTTCTGCATCTGGTGAATTCTCCGAGTGGACTGGACCCCTGGGCCAGCACTGGTGACCCCAAGCAAGCTGTCCACCCACTCTGGGCTCCATGTGCTCATCTAAAGGAGACAACAATCCCTGCCTCATGTACAAGTACTCAGTACACCCAGTGCCCGACCCATCGCCAGCATGCACAAAATTCCAGCCTCCTTCCCACCCACCTCACGTGGTGCCTCCTTGGCAGGCTGCCCTGATGCCTCCGGGTGGCCAAGTTTCTCTGGCCCGGTCCCTACAGCATTCATCACCCTATATCATTCCCACTACCATCAGGTCTGTACCGAACACAACTTAGTCTCCTGTGTCTTCTTAACCTGCAGAGTCTGGCACAGGCTGAAGACTGTTGAATGAATGAATGATCCCTCCAAGGTGCTCAGTTGGTGAGTTATCCTTTCTGTCTGTCAGGACAGTGGGTTTCTGGGTGCTGCAATGATCATCACAACTACTATTTCTTCTGCCCAACATTATACATGGCTCCCACTTATTGAGCGCCTACTGTGTGCCAGGCACTATAGTAAGTATTCCTCCGTGTCATCTCAATCGCGACCCTCAGTCACCCCATGGGGTGGGTGTTCTGTTATCATCTGTACTTTCCAGATGAGCACACAGACTCTGCTGGGGGGAGGTGGTAGAATCTGCATTAGTGGAACTGTGCTTCACAGCCTTCCCACCCACTGGGAAGGGCAAGTGGGCCAATCACAGTGCTCCATTTCCCTTCCTACGGTGATTGATTTGGGCCTGCGCATGTGATACAGGTGAAGCCCATCAGAGCCTCCCTGGGACTTTTGAAGGAGTTAATGGGAAGATTGACTGTCCTTCTGAAGTGTCACCTGGCAGACTGTGAACACTGAGTATGATTCCTGGGACTGGAGAGGGACCATGGGAGACAAGGCCCATTCTTATCTTTTGGCAGTGCCAGGGATACTGAGCAGGCTAGAGAAGCATCCTACTGCTGAGCTACACCCCCAGCCCCAAGGCCTAGTCTCAAAGCTACACAAACAGAACCGATGGGGGTGGGGAAAAATAACCCAATGACATTATTAGAAACCCTGGATCCAGCCATGCCTGAAATTGCAAGATAAAGGAGCCACTGATTTTTAAAAATATACTTTTAATCTTAGATGGACACAATACCTTTATTTTATTTATTTATTTCTATGCAGTGCCGAGGATCGAACCCAGTGCCTCACATGTGGTAGGCAAGTCTCTACCACTGAGCTACAACCCAACCCTAAATTCCTTTTATCTCTTTTTCCTTTTTCATTTTATTTTCCTTACCCTGGTTTGAATTGGGTTTCTATCACTCACAAAATTGCCGATTAATATTCTCTTCCTGATCTAGAGCCTCTTCCTGGATAATTCAGGTCTTATCTACTCCCACGTGGGGGTGTCTGATGCAGTCAGTTCTTAAGGAAATGGATGTCTGACAGGCACCTCAAAGGTGACCTCTCTCTGATCCCTTCCTGGGTTTCCCATTCCAGGTAAATGCTGTCACCACTCAGGCCCCAGAGACAGACGACTCCGACACTTTTAGCTTCTCTCCCCCTAACTGTTCTCGTCAGCAGGGCTGTTCTGTTTCAGAAGGTTCTCGCCCATCTGTCTCCTTTTCCCTCTCCACTGTCATTCCATTAATTCAGGTCACCTTCAACTCACTGCAAGAATGTTGTCTCTCCCTTCCCTCCTCCTTCCCTGTATCGCTCCTCCATGCCTATCACTGCAGTGATCTTTCTAGAAACTGCACCTGACCATGGCACTGCTCTGCTGTGGCTCCCCATCAACCTCAGTACGGTCTGAGCTCCCCAGGGTGGCTCTGGGGCCCTTCCCAATGGGCTTCATCTTGTTCTTCTCGCCACCTTGTGTTTGTTGTGCTGCACGCACTTGCCCTGAGCATCCTGCACACCCTGGAATTTGTTCCTGCTGTGCTTCTGCCTCACCCCAATTCCCACCAGAACCCCCATTATTCTTCAAAAAGCCCCCAAAGCTGATTCCTCCTCCGGGCCGCTCTCCTCCTGAGGACCCTGGCCTTGCCCTACCTTGGACAGTCCTTATCTCTCTCCAAGGCTCCGGGCCTGTGATTCTGTAGTTAGCTGGACCATGATCTCAAGGGTGGGACCTGCCTGATCTTCCCCACCCTGGGCTACCACTGCATGGGGGTGCAGGGTGTGTTCCATGAGCCAAGGTGAATGCCGGGGACCAGGGATCCTGGGGAGCTCACCCACTAAGATTTGGTTCTTGACTAGTTCTTGACCCTTTAGGGCAAAGAAGCCCCTGGAGGAAATGATTCCTTGTTTACATATGGACAGCACTTTACAGTTTACAAAATGTTTGGGGGGTGGTGCATTTTGTCATTTGGTTTTTACATTTTGGCCGCACTGTGGGAAGGTTTTAGCACTCCTGGTTTGCAGATGAAAAATGTAGTTAGAGCTGGGTTCTGATCCAAACTTCGTACATGTCTCATGAGGGCGGAGAATCGAGGAAAAGCAGAATTCCTGAGTTAGAAGAGCCAAGGCCCGTCTGGATTGGGCTATGGCAACAGTAATAACCAGACAACAGGGGCTGGGGCTGGGGCTCAGAGACAGAGCACTCGTCTACCATGCAGGAGGCACTGGGTTCGACCCTCAGCACCACATAAAAAAATGAAATAAAGATATTGCATCCACCTATAACTAAAATATATCCAAAAAAAAAGACAACAGCGTGTGCGCTGCCCTTCCCTGCAGTGTCCCACGATTCACTGGCATCATCAGCTAAGGAAGAAGGGCTACTCTTTCCCATTTTACAAATAAGGGAACCGAGGCAGGGGACCATTAAAGAGACCGGGCCCCTCTGGGCCAGGTTCCTCCTTGGTTACCGAGACAGTACTTTATAGTGCCTAGGTCCCCACCCCCATCTGGCCAGCTCAGAAGTCAGGGGCAGAGGTGGGAGGTGACACCCGGCCTTCTGATCCCGGGGAGGGACCAGAGTCTGGGAGGCAGCTTAGGATGTGGGGGCGTGGGGGTGGCAGGGCCGCGACTGGGCGTCCGCCCGCGTCCCCGGCTCGCCCTCCGCAGCGACAGCGGCAGCTAAGCGAGCTCCGCGGCGGCTGGGAGCGGGGCAGGTGGCGCTGGCGGCGGCGGGTGTGCCTGCGTGGGCGTGGGCGAGGGGCCCAGGCGGGCGGGTCCCCACGCCCATCCTCCCTCTCGCCCGCCCTCTCTCCCGTGGCTGGTGGCAGGTGAGTGGGTGTCGAGGAACCGCCAGGCAGCGGAGAAAACAGGACGCCGCAGAAATCAGATTACTCACCTGCAGCTGCGACTACCCAGGGCTAATAAAAGCAGAGCTTCCTGTTGTTTTATTACCGCCCTGTGCCTCCCCCAGCCCCATCGCTCCCAGCTGCACCACGGCCCTCACAGGTCGCCAGAAACCAGTAGCTTCGGGGTCCCGGCCACTGGAAGCCTGAAATGCCATCTGCCGGGCGCAGGGTGGGGGCAATGTACCCTCGAGGGTGGCCTTCGGTCACCTGCTGGGAATCACCTGGGTGACTGGTTCTGGAGTTGGGGATGGAGATGAGCCTACCTGGGCAACCCTTTGACCTCAGACCCTCAGGTGGCTCCTTCGTCAAATGGGATGACGATGATGCAGCCTTTTGGTTTGCACCCTAGATGTGAGGTCCCTGCCCCGCAGACCCCCGGAAGGGAGGCGGGTTGCGGGAAAGCACGCCTGTGCGGCTCAAGCTGGTCAGTTTGTCTGAAAGAAGGCTGAGGAGTTGAGCTCTCAGCGTGGGTGGCCATGGTTGCTCCGGGGTTTGCAGACCAAGCAGGAAGACCCTGAAGGAGGACGGCCCGCAGGCGGACAGGGTGGAAGAAGTTACGTGGGACTGGCCATAACTCCCTCCTGCACCCTGAGAAAGGCCCTTTACTCCCAGCGTCTCCAGAGTTTGGTTTCTGTGGCACCAGAAGAATGTTATTGTCAAGGGCATTGACTGATGGCCAGATCTCGGGGCCTCTTCCTAGCCTTCTGTGACATGGGACTCAGAGAAGCCACTTATTTCCTTCAAAATTTTTGGGGATTGACACTTTACCCCTGAGCTACATCTCAAGTACTTTTGTTTTTGAGACAGGGTCTTGCTAAATTGCTGAGGCTGGTCTCAAACTTGGGATTCTCCTGCCTCAGGTGCCACCCCTGCCTTGGCTTCTTCAGATTCTTGCTTCAGGGATGCTTCCCATCCTCTCTTCCTCCTGTCTCCCTAGATTTCTTTTTTAGGGTCTTTCCCTCCCAAGGTGCAGGAGGGAGTTATGGCCATTCCCACGTAACTTCTACCACCCTTTCCACTGTCCCTAGGTCACAGGTGCCTTGAAGTACTGTGCACGCACCAGTCCCTCCCTAGACCACCTCTCCTCCTCAGGTCACCTTCCCCACGCTGAGCACCTCCCAGGCATCCCCACTGGGTGGGAACCCCAGGCTGCCTGTCTTGCTGCCTCTTTGCTTTGCTATTTCCCTTGGAAAGAGTGAAGTTTGGGTTTGATGGGATCTGCAACCCCCAAGCACCTGGCCCAAGTACCTGGCTCAACTGGACCAGCACCAGCTGCATCAACTTGCTCTCCCCTTGGCCTGCCTCTCCTGTGGTAGGCCTTTATCGCAGGATGTCACATCTAGACGGTGATGTGACTTCTCTCCTAGACTCCCCCTACGGTCTTCCAGTCCCATTTTTACCTCTGTAATAGCTCCAGAGTCAGTCTGTCCTCCTCTTTTCAGTCTTCCTGACTCATGTACAACAGGTCTCTGAGCCCAGGACTCCCTTATCTCTCACTTGGAATATTTTTTGGTTATTTTATTTTTTTATGTGGTGCTGAAAATTGAACCCAACCTCTGAGGCACAACCCAAGCCCTCACTTGGAATTTTTATTTTATTTATTTTTTGGGATTGAACCCAGGGCCTTGTGCATGCAAGGCAAGCGCTCTACCAACTGAGCTATCTCCCCAGCCCTCACTTGGAATATTTTAACAAACCTCTTAAATGGCTGTCCTGGGTTGTTTAAGAGGGGACTCTTTCTTTTGGTACCAGGGATTGAATCCAGGGGCACTTAACCACTGAACCACACCCCAGCCCTTTTTTTGCATTTTATTTAGATACAGAATCTTGCTAAGTTGCTTAGGGCCTTCCTAAATTGCTGAGGATGGCTTTGAACTTGCAATCCTCCTGCCTCAGCCTCCCCAGCCCCCTGGGACTATAGGTGTGCCCACTATACCTGGCAATAGGGGGCTCTTTCTGAGACACAAACCCTAGCCTTGGTTCAAAACATTGGTGGTTCCTCGGAGCCCGTAGCATACAATTAAAACTCTTCCTCTTCCCACTGAGAACTCCCAAGGCAGAGTTCCCTCCTGCCTCCCGTGCTTGTTACCCTGGGAGCCAGTTATCTCTGACGCTCATCAGCCTCAGAAGGCAGGCAGGGCATGGTGGTGCATGCCTGTAATCCCAGGGCTGGGGAGGCTGAGGCAGGAGGATCCTGAGGGCAGCTTTGTGAAGATAAATTGAGGAATTGAGAATCCCCAACCCAGGACTCAGACCTCGCCAGCAGCACTGCTGCCTGTGTGCCTCCCTGTCAGGTCCCCTCCGTCCCCTGGAAGCGAACATCATCCTGAGTTTTGTGGTCACTATTCCCTTGCTTTTTTTGGGGGGGTGGTTCACCCTAGGGGGATGGATCCCAGACAATTTAGTTTTGTTTGCTTTGGGACCTTTAGATAAATAACGCAGTGTAGATACATTCTTCTTGGATTTTTTTCATGCATCACTGTTTCTAAAACATATTTGTAATTGTGCCTATTTTAGGTGTCATTCCTTCATTTTCTCTGCTGTGTGGTCCTCCCCTGTCTGGAGAGTTCCTGTGTGCATTCTCCCATCGAGGAACATGCAGGTGGTTGCCAATTGTTTTTTTTTTTTGCTTTCCCCAACAGGCTGCACAGCATTCTTTTCTGTGCCTCTTGGTACGTACCTGTAGGCATTTCTCTAAGCTCCATACTTAAGCCTGTCCTGGGGGTCAGTAGGATGCACATATTTAGCTTTACAAGACGCTGCTGTGTTGCTTTCCAAAGTTCTTGCTGCATCGATTAACTCTCCCCTTCCTCGCCACACGGATGAGCATCTAGCAGCTCGGCACCCTGGCCAGCACTTGGTATTGTGGGACTTTTTATTTCTCCCTAATATGTAGGTCTTCACTGGCCTGTGAGACGAAACCTCTTCTTATGTACTTATTTTTCAGTCTGGTTTCTTTTTCTGTGACTTGCCTGTTTGAGTCTTTTGTACACTTTTTTATTAAGTTGTTTGGCTTGTTTTTCCCCCTTCTTACTGGTTTGAGGCATTCTCAGGGAAGGTTATTGCTTCCATTTTTTAATAGTTAGGATCTGAGACCCAAGCTCATGAGGGGACAAAGTGGGCCCCAAGCCCACGACTACCTGGTTCCAGGGTCCTTTGTACCAATCTCTCTGCCTCCCATTCATTCAGTCCTTAAATGTCTGCTGATGACTTTCTTTCTTTTCTTCCTTTCTTTTTTTTGGTATAGATTGACACAACACTTTTATTTTATTTTATTTGTTTATTTTTATTTTTATGTGGTGCTGAGAATTAAACCCAGTGCCTCATACATGCTCTGTGAGCACTCTACTGCTGAGCCACAATCCCAGCCCCTGATGACTTTCTTAGTAGATCTTGGAGAGGGAATAGATAGTTGTGTTTAAGAGCATAGACCCTGGAGCCCCCTGCCTTAGTCATAATAAAAAAATTATTATTACTTTGCAGTGTTGTGGATCAAATGTGGGCCTTGCACGTGTAAGGTAAGTGCTTTAGCACTGAGCTACTTCCCCAGCGCTCTGCCTAGATTTTAATCTCTTCTCTGCCACTCCTGAGCTGTGGCCTTGGGTAGATTTTTATCCAATCTGTGCCTTTGTTTCCTTATCTACAAAATAAGAATAACACCAGTGCCTTCTTTACAGTCTTGATGCACAATGCAGGAATGAGTTAATCCATGTGAGAGAGCCCAGGTCAGTATTCAGCGTACAGTCTATGTTGGATAAATAACTGGCACAGGTCAGGCACTGTGCCTGTGGTGCCTTGTTCTGGGGACATGTGGATGAAGACGGATAAGGACACTGACCTCACAGAATTCACTGTCTGGTGGAAGGAGACAGACACAAAACAAATAAAGAAATGAAAGAATGTGGCTTGTGCCTGGCGTGGTGGTACATGCCTATAATCCCAGAGACTGGGAGGCTGAGGCAGGAGGACTGAAAGTTTGAGCCTCAGCAACTTAATGAGACCCTATCTCAACATAAAAAATATAAGGACTAGGGGTATGACTCAGTGGCAAAGTGCCCCTGATTCAATGCCCAGCTACCCACCCCCAAGGTGGCTGTGATAAGAATGAGAAAGAAAAACCCAAGGTGATGAAACCGAGTGACCAGACGCTGACTCAGCTGGGTGGTCATGCAAGGAAAACCCCCTGGAGAAGCTGACATTTAGGCTGATGTGCAGAGAATAAGACTACCCAGGCAAAGAGCAGACAGGAGAGCAGTCTAGCCGCTAGAAGGACACATGCAAAGGCCCTGAGGTAGGAAGAGCTTGATGTTTTAGGGGACTGTAGGGAGGACAATGTGACCAGAGCCAAATGAGCAAGGAGGAGAGGGCCGGAAAGGAGGCCAGGGAAGCGCCAAGGCCAAGGGTCTGCATTTTATTCTGTACAGCAAAGGGTTGTGCTTTGTCTTTATATAATCATTTGATGCTGTATGATTGACTATCTATGAATTCACCTAAATACTTCTTGAAGCCATTGGTATTTTTAGCCAGTACCCCCTTTCTGTGAAGCAAGACTTCCCTTTATTGGTCTTACATTGACTACTTTTGGCTTTTGAGGGGAGCCCCCTTCTGCCTTATAGCTGAGGGTTAGTTAGCAAGCCAAAGTAAGAACTTAGTTTTTTTTTTTTTTTTTTTTGGCAGTATTGAGGATTGAACCAGGTATTCTCCCATGCTGGGCAAGTGTTCTACTAGTGAGATGCACCCTCAACCCTTTATTTTATTTTCAGATAGCAACTTGCTGAGTTGCTGAGAGTCTAAGTTGCTGAGGCTGGCCTCCAACTTGTGATCCTTCTGATTCAGCCTCCTGATTTGCTATGATTATAGGAAGGAGCCGCCACACCTGGCTTCACAGTCAAGATTTTACTAGAGATGTGAGAGGAGGGTCCCCAGGGTGGCACCTCCCCTGCTCTGTGATGT